CTGGAACCATGACTATGACCAAATGTCTGTAAGTGATAATAAAAATGCGCAAAAGACATGCAGAAATGCTTTACCAGAATTTGAAAGTGTTTAATAATGGCTGACGAAACCAGACAGACATGGCAAGTTTGTTCAGTGAGCTTGGAAATCTGAAATTGTTTATTTTTTTTTAAAATAAGTCCTGGGTTACTGAATGCTGGATTTATGATAGTCAACCTATATTACAAATAACACAATTTAATTTTTTTTATCTCAACTGTTCACTTTAGCCTCAGGCCCAATTAAAAATCTTTTGAATTAAGAAATTTTCAGTTGACTCATTAGAGCTTTTGAAAAATACAGAGGATGGAGATGAATTGATAAAGTAAGAAAATAAAGGAAAGAAACAATCAGTGCAATATGTTAGAATTTGGGTGTAGATCCTGAGTTTAGTTCGACCCCCTTGATTCCCTACAAGATCTCAAATACAGCTACTTTTAAATAAATTCCAATGATCTGTTCAAAAATATTTTTTTTTCTTGAATGCAGCATAAATACTGGAGAAAGCTTCAGGTTCGTATGAACATGCCTGATTTTTATGGCATTGTATTCGGCTTCCTTGATATGCGTTGACTTTGTCTGGATAAACAACCCTCCCCACACACACGCAACCATGTGCTCTTTAATTTGCATTTCATGACACTTGATGCCTACCACTTCTTTGTGTAACTGTAGTCAGGGCTGGTTTTACAAGCTGTGTCACCGAATTTGAAACATTTTTTTTTTTTTGCAGGGGCCCAGGTTCACATCTAATGTTTTTTAATGCATAATTTTGCTGCAGTTGTACAATAGACACTACAAGCAGAAGGAATCTTTGCTTTTTTTTTCGTATTATCAGAGATTAATCATGCAAAAAAAAATATTTTATAATATTCAATAGGTTCCAGTTTGCAATTTAGATTGATCCCCTTACAAGATCCAAAACAAACATTCTCGTACAATTTGATTTCCTAAAATATAAAAAAATCTAAATAATTTTATTTAACCCTTTGCCTGTCCTGCACATCATATGTGATGTACAGGACATGTGATTTCCATATCCGTGCATCATATGTGGTTCACATGAACCATGATTTTAAAAGAGTGGTAAAACCAGAGACATTTTAAAAAAGAGTTTACCATTGAGCTGGATGCCTGAGAAAAGTCCTAATCTAATATTTTGTGCGACCACAGGATGCTTTTCAGATCAATTCTGCTTATTTGCAAAATAGAATGTACTGATATATAAATCAATATCTGATAACTCTTGCTCACTACTTGAAACCTAAACAAAGTAATTTTTAAGTCATTAATCAATAATTAACATTATCAGGCTCAGACGATGCAATTTCTTAAAATGTTTAAAAAAAAAATATTAAAGAATTTGAAATTTGTAATCTGGAGGGTTTTTTCATATATCAATATCATTTAAAGACTCCAGATTATAAATAAAAAGAAAACAATTATTTTTTTTTAAATTAAAAAAATCACAATGTATGGTTGCTAGCAAAAGGGACAACCCAACATGCAAATTACAAACTGGAGATGCCAAAATGAAACAAGTTCAAAAATCTAAATATCTGGGAAGTGTTTTAACAGAGCTTAAGTAAATGGATGGCAGAACTGGGTTTAGGAGAGATAACAAAAAGACAGTTTATTAAGGACCAGAAATTGTGGAGAGCCATGATCACCAATGTCCTGAAGGGACAAGGCACATAGAAGGATGATCTTGTGTAAATGGATAGCTGAACAAGGTTTAGGAGAGATAAGAAAAAGAAAAAATTATTAAAAGCTACAAAGGACAGGAAATTGTGGAGAGCCATGATTTGAGAACATCCTGCACATAGAAGAAGAAGAAAAAAAAAAAAGAATATTTAAGGTTCATGCAGAGCACACAATGTATGGTTGTTAGCAAAAGGAACATCCCAACATGCAAATTAAAAATTGGAGATAACAAAATCAAACAAGTACAGCAATTTAAATATCTGGGAAGTGTTTTAACAGAGGATGGAAAGTGTGACATTGAAATCAGGAGATGCATTGGGATAGTGAAAGATGCCTTCTAAATGCCAAGCAAAGTATTAAGAAACAGAAAAATATCATTAGTATAAAAAAAAAGTACTGAACTGTTATCAGTCTTTCTTCATGGCAGTGAATGCTTGACAATCTCCTCACCGATGAAGAAGAGACTTAAAGCAACAGAAATGTGGTTCTATGGAGGATGCTGAGAATACCATGGACTGAACATGTGAGCAACGACAAAGTTTTAGAGAAAATGAAAACAAAAAGTACACTTATACTTAACATCAAGAAATGACAGTCAAATTTTCTAGAGCAAATAATGAGGAAAGGGGGATTGGAAAATTTGATACTGACAGGATAGATTGAAGGGAAGTGGGTCAGAGGAAAACAACTACCTAACAGCTTGAGTAAATGGATGGGAGAGCAAGGTTTAGGAGAAATAACAAGACAAAATTAATTAAGTGCTACAAAAGACAGGAAATTGTGGAGAGCCATGATTGCCTACATCCTGAAGCAACATGACACATAGAAGGAGAATAAGCTTAAATAAATGGATAGTGGATCAATGTTTAGGAAAGTTAACTAAAAGATAAAATTTATTTAGAGCTACAGAAATTGTGGAGAGCCATGATTGCCATAAGGGTTATGACACATAAAAGAAGAATGAATTTGAATAAATAGATGATGAAGCAAGGTTTAGGAAAGATAACAAAAAGATAAAATTTATTAAGAGCTACAAAGGACAGGAAATAGTGGAGAGCTATAATCGTCAATGTTCTGAAGGTTTGGTTTGTTTTACGGCATATCAACACCTCAATGGGTTATTTAATGCTGACATAATTTTTATTGCCGGCAATGTTTTTCTTCAAAACTCTATTTCTGGGAATATTTTTCCTTAAAGAAATCTATAGCTGGTCATATTCTTTTTCAAAGAATGTATAGCTGTTTGTATTGCTGGTATTTTTTTTTTTTTTTTTTAAAAGTATTGCTGATAATAATTTTTCCTTCAAAAATTATTGCTGGCAATAATTTTTTTTATTACAAATTATTTTTGGTATTAAAACCTATTTTTACAGAAGTTTGGGTGTTAACTATTTGCCCATAGCTGGGACCCTAACAGATACTACCACCCCAGGTCAGGGTGAACCTGGGAACACCAGCAATTAAGAGGTGGTTCCACGTTCCTCAAAACTTCCTGATCAGTGGCCTTGCTGCTGGATGTAGTTTATCGTCTTACCCAGGACACGGATGTAGTTTATCGTCTTACCCAGGACGCGGATGTAGTTTATCGTCTTACCCAGGAGGGCGGATGTAGTTTATCGTCTTACCCAGGAGGGCGGATGTAGTTTATCGTCTTACCCAGGAGGGCGGATGTAGTTTATCGTCTTACCCAGGAGGGCGGATGTAGTTTATCGTCTTACCCAGGAGGGAAACCGTGATTTTAATCGTCTTACCCAGGACAAGGCGGATGTAGTTGTTTATCGTCTTACCCAGGAGGCGGATGTAGTTTATCGTCTTACCCAGGAGGGCGGATGTGGTTTATCGTCTTACCCAGGAGGCGGATGTAGTTTATCGTCATACCCAGGAGGCAGATATAGTTTATTGTCATACCCAGGAGGCAGATGTAGTCTCAGTTTTGGGGTTAACTACTTGCCCATAGCTGGGACCCTAACAGGTGCTACCACCTCTGGTCAGGGTGGACCTGGGAACACCAGCAATTAAGAGTTGGTTCCACGCTCCTCAGAACCTCCTGATCAGAGGCCTTGCTTCTGGATGTAGTTTATCGTCATACCCAGGACGGAATGTTCTGAAGGGAAACTGCACGTAGAAGAAGGGGATCAATTTGTATAGCTCACAATTAACTTTTATAAAATAATTTTTTAAAAATATTTGTGATCTAAAATGATAGAAACATAAAATATTTAATCCATAGCAATACAAAAATAAAATAATTATTTCTGGTTGCAGTGCCTATTGTACAACACCCCATAATTCATAATTTTATATATTATTTGTTTCTTTTTTTTTCTTTTGAAATCATTTGATATTTTTCCACTGTTCTATTATAAACATGTTATTTAATCAAAATATATTTATAAAAAAACAAAAACTTTTGAAATATAATTTGCTGATGTTTTAAGGCTTCAAAAGGAAATCACATCATTGATGTTCTCTGTAAAGCCTGCAATATGATGTTTCAGTGTGCAGTGTTGCGTGTATTTCATAAAAGTAGATTTTCCTAATACAGGTACCGTCTTAGGAGCAGTGTGTCCAATTGGCTTCAAGCTGACCCTGATTGTAGTTAATTGCTATCCCTGTGTTATCCAGAACCCATATTTTTTAAATTAAGGATTTTTAATGTTTGATCCTGTTCCATGTGACTTAGTAGATTCCATAACAATATATTAGTACTTATTTTAAATTATATAAACACATAGTATAGTCAAATTCTAAATCCAGTTTCTTTCTTATATTTCAATCCAAGAGTTGTTCCGACAAATGATATTGATTTCAGATTGTTTCTATTTTTGTAATATCATTTTGTTCTTACTTAACTTGCTTTCATCATCTTTCTCTTGCTTTCATCATCTTTCTCTCACTGTCTTTCCATCTCAATTATTGTGTAACCCTCCCCCTCAGTTCGTTTCTTTTTATCTATCACAATCTCTTTGTGCCAGTCTTCGTCTGTTCATTCCTATTTCACTAATGCACAAATACCAATGGGAACCATATCAATCCAGCTCTTCTCTCCCAGCTATGGGTTAAATAGTAGCACTTATATGTGGAAAAATCATTTTGATCTCGGAAAATTTTAATGCAATCTTTACTAACAAACAAAAATAGAATTATTCTTACAGTCCAAAATGTGTTCCGGCTTTAAATAACCCACAATGGGTTGATAACATGTAAAAAAAGCAAATCACTCACTATCTCTCTCTGTCAGATAATATCTGTCTCAGTCTTTTCGTATCTATCTGTCTCGGTCTTTTCGTATCTATCTACTACCTATCTATCTATCTCAGCCTGTTCATATCTCTCTCTTTCATCATCATCAGTCATGGATTGTACGCTTGAAAATGTCTGTGGAATTGGTCAAGTCCTCATCCAAATAATTCCTGGAATGATAATGCCACTTTCGAAATGACTGTTTCTGGTTGGTACACTTGAAACAAAAAGAGACCTCACCATCTCTTTCCATATGAGAGACCAATAATAAAAAAAAAATTTATGCTATTGTTCTTCTCATTACAAGGTCCAAGAGACACTCAAAGTAGAGGGTTACTGTTATCTATCTTACACATCCAAATAATCAACAATTTTTACATCAATAAAACAACCCAATTCAGTAACCTCTTCATGTCTAGACATGAAGAGGTTAAGAATACAGAGGTTGGGGAAACGTTTCCTTGGGAGCCTGTTCCATGAAGCAGTGTCTTTTTGGAAGAAGCTTCTTGTTATGGAACTTCCTCCTTATGAATGGAATACAAAGGGAATGCCAATGAGTTGATTCTGCATATATGGCAATGTGGGTCTTAGCTGTACAGGTCCAAACTGGTAGAACTAAGGAATATCAATTGTCAAAAATATTTTTCATGAAAATGATGATAGGCTTGTGATATTGTGTCTGTGGGAAAGAGGTTGTAGAGTGGAAAATAATTCATTACCCCCCAAGACCGCATAGATGCTTTTGAGTTCTGTTGAGAATGGAAGGAGAGGATTGTCAGTTTCAGCAGAGATATTGTAGCAATAATCCATCATAAGTGATGAAAATATGTTCAAATATTAGATTATTTGTCTATATTTCTGAGATCAGGTATTATGTACACTATTTACATTATTCGGACCATTGTCCTCATCTATGTTGCCATATTTATCACAATGTTTCGGCCTTTCAGTATCTGTCTATATTTCTGAGATGAGGTATTATGTACACTATTTACATTATTCGGACTATTGTCCTCATCTTTGTTGCCATATTTATTACAACGTTTTGGCCTTTCAGTATCTGTCTATATTTCTGAGATGAGGTATTATGTATACTTTTACATTATTCGGACTATTGTCCTCATCTTTGTCGCCATATTTATCACATTTCAGCTGTTGTGCACTCTGAACTTCTTCTGTATTGGTTAGATCCAGTGGCAGGACCCAAAGAGTTGTGAGTTCAATGCCTGGTTAAGGCAGTGGAGAACTTGGAGAGGTGAATTAACAGGAGATAACTGATAACTGACATCTATTAGACATGGCACATGGGACTAGAACAGTCTACCCCAGCGAGTGAAATAAAGAGTTCAGTTTGACATTTCAACCACCTGAAGAAGGCAGGAGCGTACAATGGCCAAAACATTGTGATGAATATGCCGACAAAGATGAGGACAATAGTTTGAATAATGTAATTATTTCTTGCAATCTCATATTGCAGTAGATGTAACCATAAGTTCTATGCTAAGTTACTTCTCTTGGACATCTCACTTGTGGAATGCTATTTCGGCTTCTTGCTTCCCAGTTGAAAATTTAAGTGCAGTGTCCTTAGTTATCTTCCATTTTCTTGTTTGTAGCATTTTTCAGTAGGTTGCATTTGAATGCGGGATTTCATTTCACAAGTGACTGAAATTTATGTCACACTGTATATACTTATGTAATACTAGTATCATACAACCTCCAAATTTTCACTTATAAAAAATAATTTCATCATGTATCTTGTGTATCATACTAATTCCTTTTTTGAGAGACCAAATTACAATAGACTAACCTCTTTTCCTCTATTTCTTTATTGTGTGGTGATCGCTTACATGTGCCACACCTCCGCTTTCTTTAATGTCATTGGTTCATAAATATATGATACTTATTATATGACAATTTTGCCATCGCACGTTATTTGAATTTTTCTCTAAAATCATGGATTGGTCCATTTCCTGACCAATCGTGTATTTTAGTATCTTTCTATATTTTTGGCACCATGCTCACTGGAGCCTATGCGTAACTATAAAAACCCTCTCGCTTTTAGCCAACAGCCAGTAGCAGTTCAATTCTTGGAAAATACGGCACAACGTATATATTCTTGTGACATTTTAATTTTTAATTATTACACATTCGAGTAATCATACTAATTCCTATTGATATCACTCATGAACATTACATCTTTCTACACTGATAAAACACTGTGGAACTATTCTTTATTTAGCTAAGACTTCAATTGAACTTTGTAGTTAAATAACATTGTACTCAACATTAATATAGCTAAACTTACCCTTTTATTTACGGAAGAAGGGAAGCAACTTTCTTTATACTATTGTTGATTTTTGTATATCATTGTTAATACAATATTTTATTAATGTTCAGTGAGCTTGATTTATTTTCTCTCATGTATGTTGTACATGATTCATGTGGGGTGTTGTTTTACAAGAACACAGCTTTCCTTCTTTATTATATTCACGGTGACCCTAGCCAACAATTCTTACAGCACCACTACAATTGCATCTTCTAGTTATAAAAGAAAATGATAAAAGTATTGTTAGTAGCACTATACTAGTTGTGCGAATGCATACAGCATAGACAGTAGTCTCAAACAGCTAAAAATCTTATAAACTAAAACAGTGAAAAGATGCATATTTGCTGTGTTTGTATTTTATAATACGATACTAATATATGAATATTACATGCGTTATTATTGGATACAGTTAAGTAAAACATAAGTTTTATCAAAATCATGTTTATTTTAAATACAGCTGTACTTTTTGACTACAGTAAATGGATATAGAGTTTGGTTAACAGTGTAGCCAAGCCAGTAGTACATACACTAATTTTATATCTAGTGTATGATGTGACCCCTTTAAAATTAGCTTCAAAATTCGGTCTTCAAAAGTTGCATTAGTATATATACAGTGTAACCCGGATATAAGAGAGATTTTCTCTGGTCCCAAATTAGAGTCTGTGTTAATGTATATAAAATAGACCAAACCCGGATATAAGAGAGATTTTCTCTGGTCCCAAATTAGAGCCTGTGTTAATGTATATAAAATAGACCAAACCCGGATATAAGAGAGATTTTATCTGGTACCAAATTAGAGCCTGTGTTAATGTATATAAAATAGACCAAACCCGGATATAAGAGAGATTTTCTCTGGTCCCAAATTAGAGCCTGTATTAATGTATATAAAATAGACCAAACCCGGATATAAGAGAGATTTTCTCTGGTCCCAAATTAGAGCCCGTGTTAATGTATATAAAATAGACCAAACCCGGATATAAGAGAAATCCGGATATAAGAGAGATTTTCTCTGGTCCCAAATTAGAGCCTGTGTCAATGTATATAAAATAGACCAAACCCGGATATAAGAGAGATTTTCTCCGGTCCCGACAACTCTCTTATATCCGGGTTACACTGTATATGGTATATACTATATACATATTCTGAAAAGTGATATTTCATCATGTCTTTTTCTCTTATTTGTGTGTAGATTGTGAATTTTATTCTTGATAAAATCCAAAGAATCTGCAATGTTATTGGTCTATACCTGGCATCTCTGGTGTTACTTCCCTATGCCTTTTCTATATTTTCATGCTAATTGTTCTGATGAAGTTCCTTGATGGTACCTAGACTTTATGATTTTACACACAGTATAAGATTGCAATATCTCATCATTTTACGGTTGAAATGACTCGATGTAACTGGAAGTTTTATGCTAATACTTTCTTTTCAGTATCTGTCTATATTTCTGAGATGAGGTATTATGTACGCTATTTACATTGTTTGGACTATCGTCCTCATCTTTGTTGCCATATTTATCACGTTTCGGCCATTGTACACTCCGGCCTTCTTCAGATGGTTGGAATGTCACTCTCTTTTAGCTTCTTGCTTCCCAATCAACTTTGATCTTTAGAAATTTAAATGCAATATCAATCATTATATCCTGTCTTCTTAATTATTGTTCTTTTATTGTTCTCTCTCCTTAATAGTGTTTTTTTCTCATATTGTCTCATAGTTATGAAAGTTATTCTATAAATAATATTTCAAACAATCATGCACCATTAAAAAGCTGCTAAAATTTGAAACAGAAAAGAGGAAATCTGGTTTTACAATGTTGACATCTTGATCAGCAAAGGTTGTTTGTGGCTGAGCCAATTAAAACGCATCAAATCTAAAAATAGTCCCTCTTTCCAGGTTTGAATCTTCATGGAGAGCAAATATTTTTCCTTAATAACATTTCTCAGATATTTAGTCCAGTAGACGAGATTAAATAAATGTACTGTTTAATAAATAAACAGAGCATCTACTCAAATATGAGTATCCACTAAAAATAACATTTAAAGTGATGAAGGATAGTAATATAAGAACTAGATTGGCAGTTAGGTCTCATCATTTTACAACTGAAATGGCTAGATGTAACTGTAAGTTCTAAGCTAATAGTTACTTCTACCTCACTTGCGGAACTCTTTTCCAGCTTCTGACTTCCCAGTCAGCATTGATCTTCAAAAATTTAAATGCATTGTCAATCGTTATCTTCTGTCTTCTTAATTCTTGTTCTTTTATTATCCTCTCTCCTTAATATTAGGTTGGTGCAAAAATAATGTCGTTTTTTTCATGTTAAGTCAAAAAACGACATTATTTTTAAAACCTAATAGTATTTTTCTTGTGCCTAAAACTCTAACACTTAGTGACCCCTTGCATTTTAGTGTATTTATTGCCTTGCTTGGAGTGAAATGATTAAAAAAAACCGAGTTCAATCCCTGGCTTGGGTTGGGTAGATACAGATTCAATAAAAACAGGATTAGCAATCACTGTGCAATAATAAGATATACAAAGAGATGACCTTCCCAGACATGGACAGTGTAATGAAAATAATCTATTCACATAGATTAACAGATCATGACAGCTGTTAGGGAGATGTGATTAAATATATTTTAATGTTTAAAAAAATTTATTCAATATTATTATTGTTTAGGTAATAAGCATTATAACTTACCAAAAATAGCTATATTGTGAAAAAGGGAATTTTTGACAATATACACATTTTCTACATATTGACGGTTATTTTTTTAACTTTTATCAAAAACGACATTCTTGTATATGTAGTTTTGGATAATATTATACATTAATTACTAATTTTTT